GTAAGAATGAAGGTAAGAATCGAGAGTCTTACATGGTAAGTGAGGGTGGTGACTCTTACTCGATACATGCTTAACGGGTGACAAACACTTACCAGCAATTCATTTTGATGGCTTAGTAATGTTATCCGATAAGATAAGTAAGGGTGCTGACTTTTGTCGGTACCGGGTAGGGTTTGGTAAACGCCCCTTTACTCTATCAATGATTAGTGCCAATTCGTACTCTTCTCTTAGTTTTTTTACCTGATTAGCATTTATCCAATTTATGTTTGTAAACGACTATGAAAGAATTTAATAGATAATCTGAATTAATATTTTATCTTGGAAACCAACTACGAAATTGATCAGTACATCTTGAAAGTCGGTAAGGGAGAAGCAACACAATGCATCAGTGGATTCACTGCGATGGATGCAACTCTTCTTGGACCTCTGTGGTAATTATCTATTCTACTTCAGTAAAAACCTTTTTTTACCCATGTTTTAAAACATTATTTTACTACATGTTCTCTATTAGGACCTTTCCGAATACAATAATTTGACCCTTATTGTATAGGGTATCAAGAAATTAGTATAGTGAAAATCCAAATGAATACTCTGATCTTTAAGACTGTAAGATATATTCCTTATATATACCTGGATTCTTGTTCACATATTTATATGAGAGATCGACAGTTACAGACGGTTAAAACGGTCAAGACATAAGTGCACAACATTTTTTACCGTTAACAGATAAGATTAGAAGACAGTTTTACAACTTCTCTGAGTCAGAAGCAACGTCAAAAGAAATCTAGAGGCTCTGTGGGCCAGAGAGCGTCCAAAAACTTTGATCACCAAGATCAGAGGCTCTGAGTACACATGCTTCTGAACTACACTTGGTCATTTTCACCAAGTTTTGACATTATTTATAGAAGGTTCCCCACCTTCTGAAATATGTTCAAAACGTCCCAGAACTTAAAATTCTTAAGCAAATCTCTTCTTAAAATTTGCAGAGGTCTCAGGTCTCAAGGGCGGCCTCTGTCGACCCCGCCCGCTGAATGGTTAGCGGGACCACCGCCAAGGGCACTGCCCCTAGGACCTGGGAGTGACTCCCGCCTTAGAGCGATTTAAGGTGATAAGAGGCAACATTTGTGAGTGTGCATTCCACACCTCTTAACTCACTTATGTTTGCCTTATCACTAGGTTGATCGATCCCATATAAATCACAATCACACTAAAATCACCAACAAATTTACCCTCCTAACATAATAAAATCTAAAACTACACTTGTGCTTCCGATCAGAAATTATATAGTAATTTTTTAGACGATCTTTTTATGCTTAGTATTGTGGGTATTTTAATGCAGGATCCTCGGAGATGTTTTCATGCGTCCATATCACACGGTGTTTGATTATGGCAATTTACTAGTTGGATTTGCAGAAGCAGCTTGAGATATGATATGCGATGATCATCCTTCTGCCAGTCGGTTTTACTCTGTTTATGCTAAATCTGTGTTTTTGTGAATTCCCATCCTACCGGAATAAAATGGTCCAATAAATTTATGACGTTTTTATTACCCTAAATTTGTCGGTATCTGATGAAAGCTGATGTTGTTTTGCTCTTTTCCTTATGCGTGACACAACTATCGGCTCCATTGTCATTCAATCCGCCTCTTAAATTTAGAAAATCAGTTGTCAAAGGTCGAAATTGAGAATATAAGTACCGAAAACATTACAGTATAATGAAAATATTATCATTGAAGGTAGGTGTGCACAAAAAACCGACAAAACCGTCAACCCGTCCAATCCAACCCGAAGTTGTGAACTATTGAAAAAATCCAAAAATTAATCTATTTGAAGATTATTCATATAAGTTTAGATATACATCTTCAAATTGATTTTTTCAATGATTCACACATAACCTATAATTTAATATTATATTCTCACGATAATTAGCCTTCTTAAACATTCCGCTATATGTATATATTGATCATATATAGAGGGGCATTCTTTTAATAACTTCTTAATTAGGGGCCGTTTACCTAAATACTTACCCAGTAAGTACTTAACATTAGAAGTCAACACTATGATTTATTTTATTGGGTAAGATTGTATTCCATCAAAACGTATCCTATGCAACAATTTACTTGGTAAACACTTACCCGGGTAAGAGTCGTCACCCTCACTTACCGGGAGTCTCTTAATTAGGGGCCATTTTGCACTATATCATGAGAGTATTTTAATCACTATGACCACTTAATCATTCTACATCAAACCATTTAACAACTGTCAAGCAGTCTCTAACTTTGTTATATATACGTATAAAAATAAAAACAGAAGTTTTAAATTATATTTATTCATATGTAAATAAAATTAGAAATTAATAAAAATAAATTTTTAATTACACTAATAGTTATGTAAAATTTTGAAAGATAAATAAAAAAATTGTTAAAATAATAAGATTTAATAAAATAAAAGTGCTAATTATTATGTAAAAATTTGAGAGATAAATAAAAAATAATGTTAAAATGATATAATTATATAATTATAGATAAATAAAAATGAAATTTTACTTGTATAGATTGGTATGTAGTTTAAAAATAAAAATAAAAGTTTTTGGATTAATTAAATCGCTGGTTTTATGGTTACCACTCATCATCAAGTCTCATTCTTATTTTAAACTGATTACACATTGATCAATTTGGTTAGCACATGAGTTCTCTTTCTGTATTAAAATAACACATATTTTTTTGTTATGAACTAACAAAACTCTTACCATTTAATTTTTTTTATTACCCTATATATCCAATCCGTTATGCGAGCCGACTAATCCCAGGGCGACTACCTACTTTGCAGATAGCCCGGAGTCACCGCATTTGAACCTCCGTAACCACAAGGGAATTTTTATTCCTCCTTGGATTTGAACCTCGGACCTCCTGGCACTTTTGACCTTTGGAGCCAAGCTCAAACCAATCAGACACCACCCTTGTAGTTTACCATTTAAAAATTTACTGACCATAATAGATGACCCAACTCATATCTATATTTTAGGATTTCAAAATTATCGTTGTTTTTTCATACATTATTGACTGTAATTATCTAATAAGAAGTGTATGCATCTTAAGTGTCACCGTATTGTTCTTTCGTGGTAAGGTAAAAAAATTAGTTTCGTGAAAGGTGCAACTGTTTTATACGGTGCCACCGTACCCAAAAGTTATTGGGTCCATCCCTGAAACTACATTAGACCCACAAAGTTTCTACTTCAAATTTAAGGAAATTAACCAAAATATCTAAACTTTTTAAGAAAAATTACCTTTTAGCCATTTTTGGAACCAAATTCCCGTTTTAGTACAGTTTACCTAGTCTTACGCATCTGTATAAAACCTATTTTCTGTAATAACCGGATCTTGGTTATTACCCAATGTATTTAATACGTGATTATCTGATTTAATAATTATGTGATAGCATGATATTTTGATATGTGCTAGTATGTGCAGAACGTGATTTGTGTGCATATAGAAGATATATATATATGTATGTATATATATATATATATGCATGTTTGTTGAATTTGTATATTATTAGAATATGTGGATATATATATATATGATGATGAGCATATATAATAATATATATATATATATATATATATATATATATGGATTAGGTTGTGCATACGTGGAGAAGTATGCACGCATTATGTGCAAAGTGTGTGCTTAGGTGTGCATGAATGAGTGGATATGAAGAGTTTGGTTATGGATGAGATGGAAGAGTTTTAACCGACTTTCCTCTTTTGGCATAGTATAAATAGGAACTTAGTTCCTCATTTGCTTTTCTGGGCTATTCTGAGTTAGTAGAGTGTTCTAAAAGAAAAGAAAGTCATCCGGTTTGTTGCGCTGAGTTTTCATCCAAGCTGATTTCAAGTTTTGATATCAAAAGTCTTTAAGGTGAGTGGTTCTAAATCTTTTTACATAAAATCATTCTATTGGTTTTATTAGTATGCTCCATGTTTTTTTATCCTTTGGAATAAACTTTGATTTTTATGGTCTAAGTGTTATCCGGACAAAGCCTGACCGGATAAGGGATTAAACCGGACAAGCCTCATACGGTTTATTGTCCGGATTGCTTCTAAACCGGGCAAACCGTGAGTGGTTTGTTGTCCGGG